CACAGCAATATTCATTAAACCATTAGAAGATTTATTAATAATAATAACTCATTAGTACAAACAGTAAACATGAGAAAGGGGCATTTCCTTGAGTCCAAATTTTTTACCATTACATATGAAAATACAAATATCTCAGAATACAGGCGATGATCAATTCACAATAGTTCTGTCAAGGTAGGCTGGAGGTTAATGTTAAAAAACAACCCTCAAACTGATTGGACTTTGCAGAGAAACATGACAGAAGAATATTCATATGCTTGTCCAGGTTACAAGCAGGACTAAACCCACCAACCCAAAGTCTATGTGTAAACTCCATCATTGTGGAAACTCTTGAAATTAAAGCGCCTCCTGTCGGTGAAACTCTGCATCTAGGGAGAAAAAACATAATAGATTATTAAATAACAAAACAATAATGCATTACTCTACATTAGAATTATAAATGAATTACATATACAGTTTGATTTAGAATCTTATAAACATGTACAAAAATGTGGTCACATGGAAACAGAGAAAGCACACACTCTCACCTGGCTAGGGTCTCTTGTGAAGTATCTCTTCTCTATTACCTAAAGAGAAAAAAATTATAATTTACACACAGCTTGCTAATACACTGCACAGAGACACGGTTTATCATATATTTTTGGTTTCATTGAAGTCTCTACCTTGTCAAAGAATCGGCTCAATTTAACAGCATTTGATGATCCAGCAGCAAGATACCGTGGATTTGTACAATCCTGAGAAGAAAAGCAGGACAAAGCTCAGAATTCATAAGTGCAAAATCCCCAAAGGAGATTTAATACAACAAATTGAGTTTTTTGCTTAATATTATATGAGTTTGGGTACTGTAACACCACTAAAAAGCACACACCAAATTGATCTCTTCCGCATTAAAGTCTTCAGATAGAAAGGCAGTGCGGGTCAGCACATCATTCCTCTTGTTTTCCGGGATCTGATCAAATTTGGTGCCAATAAGCAGGAGAGGAACAGAGTTCTCTGCAAACTGTTCCCTGTCATAATCCCTGCAAGTGCAAAACATCAGAATTATTTCCTTTTTAACATATCTGGGAATTTATAGACAAAATAAAGTATGGTATTCTCTCTCTGTATTCTGATATATAATCGTTCATACATCCAGAAGTTAACCTTGACTCACCCATTTGACACAATGATGCCAGTTGGAGAGGAGTCTTTGCTCAGTGCCTCCAATGACCAGCGGTACAGATTCAGGGAGGATTTCTTGTTGGTCAAATCATGAACTAAAATAATACCTAGAAGGGAAAAAAGTGATTTAGCTTTAAAGAAGAGTCATTACAAATATTCCAGAATGCTTTTTATTTGTACACATGCAAGAACAACTTTTAATGGTGTGTCTTGATACTTAACCATTTACAGAATTGTAAAACACAGCTCTGGTGCTTTTAACACTGCTGGCACTGCCAACAGATCCCCCA